GCCTCCAGGGCCTTGGGCATATTATGTACCTGCTCTTCAAATATGGTAGAAATGGCTATAATCCCAGCTACTCAGGAGGCTGAGGCGGGGGACTTCAATTTTGTGGTAAGCCTGGGTAACTTAGCAAGACTCTGGCTCAAAATAAAAAATAAGGGCTAGAGATATAGCTCAGTGGTTGAGTCCTTCCTAGCATGTGTGAGGCACTGGGTTTGATTCCCTGTACCACAAGGAAAAAAGAATTATTTACTCACTGAGTTCATCTCCTAACCTTTAAGAAGAGGATAATACCACCTACCTTACGTGATTACTCAGGAGATTAAAATAAATAATAACAGAATAGATGTGGAAATACCTCCCGCAGTGCCTGGCACTTAGTTGGAACCATTAGTAAGCTATTTCAAATCTTCCTGCGTGTGTATCTAGGAGGCTGGCCAGGGAAAAGGTTGAACTAAACAGATTAACTTCTAAAATCTTAAGGAAATGTTTTCAAAACAAATCCAGCCAACTTTTTCTATGTGCCCATGTACAAGGCACAGGCTAGGTCAAAAACTACTAGCACCCCTGGTAATTACTCATGGGACATGAAGGACAAGAAGAGGCAGAGAAATACCAAGTCAGAGGACAAGCCAGGTACTCCCTATAGGACAGGCTCCCTCCAGTAACAGGATACACTGCAGAGATACAAAACGGTTTCTGTGACTTTCAGGCTCTCATTTCTAACCATAAACATATTTTGGTGTGAATGAGTAGGCATTTTCTTATCTGGAAGAAGACGGCAAAGAAACCATCAGAGAATCTGTTGCTCAATTCTTACATTTTCATACAGCAGTTCTCTACCTGCTCTTAAAGACAAAAACTACTTTGAGTCCTTATAATGGGTTATCAATGTCCTAAGCATTATTCAAGTATGAATTAAATACAAAGATCCCCCAAGATAAGGACTAGTACTGTTAGACTCCAAAGCCTGTGTCTTGAACCACCTTTTAGAGTTCCTTGCCTGATCCACCAAATTACAGGCAGAAAAACCTCACAAAATAAAACCGAGGGTGAAGGTTCAAAAGGAATACTTTTTTTTTGTACCAGTGGGTACTGAACTCAGGCTTTCGCACTGAGCTACATCCTCAGCTCTTTTTTATCTTTTATTTTGTTTGTTTGTATTTTGAGACAGGGTCTGTTAGCCTTGAATTCATTATGCAGCCAAGGCTTGCCTTGAACTTGGGGCAATCCTTCCTCAGCCTCCTGGACTGCTGGGATTACTGGCAGGCACCACCAGGCCCAGCTTCTCTTTTACTTTCAGACAAGGTCTTCCTAAATTGCTAAATTGCCCAGGCTAGGCTGGAATGTGGAATCCTCCTGCCTCAGCCTGCCAATATCCTGGGTTTATAGGCATGTACTATCACATCCTGCCTCAAAAAATACTTTCATGAAGCAGGCAATGCATTCATTTTCTAGCTACTACTAGTTATAAACTGATTACCTAAAAGCCTAATTTTCCCTACTATATAAAGGTCAAGGATAAGAATGAAGGTAGACTTGTATGAGAATGCTACAGCTCTAGATCTTCTTACTGAAATGCCAACATGATGCCCAGGACCGGGCCCCAAACCTCCCTTAGTACGTCCCTGAACCCTAGTCATCTCCAGGTTGCCTGACTAGAACCGAGTCCTGGGCTGGGAATCAGCTCAGCTTCCATAAAATGGAGAAATCCCATCATAAATGTGGAAAACCTACTATGGCCCCTTGAACGTAATAAGTTTTTATTAAGCTCTGAAACTGTGGTTCTCTGGTATCAAACTCTTGTCCCTCCATCCCATACCCAGGGGCATCCAAGCCACCCTGCCCTGCCCACGTCATGAGGCATCTGCTAATGGTCAGTACTGCCTTCTCCACTCTTACCACTAACATCTCGTCTCAGGTCTACGGTACATTCCTCCAGACTGCTGCTGTGTACCCGTCATGACTTCCTGACGCTAAGCTTAAGTGTCTACTGAAGACTGGAAAATTTTTTATAGTCCTTGGCCTTGCATTAAACCTCCCAGTCTTATTCACCCTCTCAGCCTTACCTTCATCTTCCTATGACTTCCTGATTCCCAATCGTTGCTGCTACCACACATAGCAATTCACCATCCCTTATTAAGACCCTGAATCTTGCCTAGCATTGCAACCTACTCTCACAGTTCCTTTACTACTAAGTTATCATCTCTTCCACCTTTTTAAAAAACCTGTCTTGGGCTGAGGATATGGCTCAGTGGTGCAAGTGCCTGCCTGGGAAGCACAAGGACCCGGATTCAATCCCCAGCACCAAAAAAGCAAAACAAAACAAACAAACAACAACATCAACATCATTTTTTTCTCTTGAAAGCACTACTGGTTATGATATTTATTTCCCATCTCTACCTACCAGAACACATACTCCATGAGTAAAGGAATTTGTTCTATTTTGTTCCCTGCTGTAACACTCAAGACTGAAAGTACTTGGCACACAGTAGGTCCTCAACAGATATTTGTGGAATGTATGAACAGAATTCTCCCTCCCTTATGAAATTCTATAATATTTTCACATAGAGGCCCAACATCTTATAGTGAATGGTCTAGGGTTTTTTTCCCTTAAATTTCCCTAATTAGTGAATTTCTCAACAGCACAAATGATATATTACTATTTCCACAGATATATGTGTCAGACCCTACATACCTCAAATAGTCTGGAATATTGGAAAGAACACACTGGGGCAGCCCTGTGTTAACCCTGGCTCTACAGTAGGTGAGTAACCCTGGATAAATCCATTTTCCTCCTGGATCCTCAGTTTCCTCAAACGTAAATCAAAGAGACTGTGACCATACATTACCTCAAAAGTGTCTCCTAGCTCTGGTAGCTGTTCACATTTATAAGAGGTAAAACTTGGCTCAGCCCAGCCCCACAGACATCACAGGCCCTCGGTAAATATTTGATTTCTTTGTTGTCGATTCTCTTGTTACACAAAAGAAATGTGAGATGCCTTGGAACGTAGCTTGAACAGAACAACAAGTAAAGTCCTACTTCCTTCTCTGACTCCCCCGACAAGCTCTTTCTGCTGTTTGTCCTACAGAGAGAGTGAAGCACTAACCTTGAAGTTAGAAAATATGAATTCTGATGACCGCTTACTTAACCTCAGAACCCTGAACAAGTCATTTCTGGGACTTAATCTCTTTCCCTATAAGAAGCCATCATAAAGCCTGAGGATGTAGATCAGTGGTACAGCACTTGACCCCCGGAGTTCAGGGCCAGTCTGGCCAATATAAGTGAAAGCCCACATCTTAGAAATAGGAAATCCTTTTTTTTTTTTTGAGACAGAGTCTCACTATGTAGTTCAGGCTGGCCTTGAACTTGCAGTGATCCTCCTACCTGATCCTCCCGCCTCATCGCCCAAGTGCTAGGATTACAGGTGTACACCACCATGCCTGGAGAATATACTTCCATAGTGCAGCACCTGCCTAGCGTGCACAAGGTCACAACTGTCAGCACACACACACAAAAGCTATTCTGTACTTCACCCAGATCCTCAAAGGCACCACGTGTTTTCCTACTCCAGGGCCTCCCCATCATTCAGGACCCAGCTGGGTGTGGTGGCCCTCGGCTGTAATCCCAGCACTTGGAAGGATGAAGCAAGAGGATAGCTGGGAGTTCAAGGCTACTACAAAGTGAGACCTTGTCTCAAAAACAAACGAACAAACAAACACCCAGGGTCTCTGCACTTAGCTACATCCCCAGCCCCTCACCTTTTATTAAATTTTGAGACAGAGTTTCCTTAAGTCATTAAACTGCTCAGACTAGGCTTGAATTTATGATACTCCTCCTGCATCTGCCTCTCAGAATGCTGGGATTATCATCAGGGCCTTTGGATGCTATTCCCACTATCTGGAATGTTTGTGGCCTTTTTTCAGACTAATTTTTTACCTATATTCAAGGTTCAGCCTAAACTTCCTTTTTAAAGTAAATTATTCCCAGGCAGGTGTGGCGGCACACATCTGGAATTCCAGCACTCACGAGGCTGAGGCAGGAGGATTGCTGTAGCTGTAAATCTGAGGCCAGCTACAAAGTGAGTTCAAGGCTAGATTGAACTGCATAGTGAAACCCCATCTCACAAAGAAAAAAAGCCAGTTGTGGTGGTACACTCCTGTAATCCCAGCACTAGGGAGGCAGAGGCAGGAGGATTGCCATGAGGGGCCTTGACTACATAGTAAATTCAGGGCCAGCCTGAACTATACAAGACCCTATCTCAAAAAAAAGGTAAAGTATTCCTTATCTAGATTCCCCTAAATCTTAGCATACTCTTTTCTTGTTTTGTTTTTAAATTTTTATTATTTTATTTGCTTATTTTTGTTTTTTGTGATACTGGGGATTGAACACACACCTCACAGTGAGCTCCATCTCCACCTTTTTTTTCTTTTTCTTTAAATTTTAAGACAGGGTCTCACTAAATTGCCACACTGCTGGGGTTGTACTCAAATTTGTGCTTCTCCTGCCTCAGCCTCCCAGAGGGCTGGGATTCTAGCTGGCTCTTGTGCTGTCATAGTGCTTATCTCAATTTGATACCACTTAGATCAACTGTTACCTTAATTATTTACTATCTCTAGAAAGGTAAGCACTAAAGACTATGCCCATTTTATTCACCACTGCTCACCATCTTACTCCTCCTCAGCACTATTAAGTTCATGGCACAACAAATCTTTGAATGGATGAAAGTTCATAAATTAATGCATAAAGTCTCTTAGTTTTGTCAGAGGAAATCTGACAAAAATGATTGCACTTTAGGCCTAGGGAGTGGGGCCAGCGGACACCTTTAAACTCGTTTACAAGTTTCTGAGAATGAAGGTTGAAGACTAGAAATCTACCTTACACAGTGCTCAGAAAGTCACTGGAAATCATGAGTTGAAGAATTCTTGAAGCTTCAAAAAAGTTAAAGCAAGAGCTATAAGGCATTTCCACCCCTAGCTCTCTCTCTCTCTCTCCAGAAACCTACCAGCACCAATGAGGTCAAAATCCCATGCTCCCACGGCGAGGAAGTGACCCACCGGTGGCCTGCTCCTTGTATTCAGGATGGAGGAAGTGACTGTTCGCAGGCCAAAAGCCAGGAAGCAGAGGGCAGATGTCCAGCCCTTCTGAGCCACACAATTCTCTCCTGGCACCTCTAGAAAGCTTTTGGAAGCTGACCTTGGTGGATCCAGGGACTGGGTCCCCACACAGGAACTGGGGTTGGGGAACAGGGCTAGCAGGAAGCTGCAGGGAGACGTGAGGTGCCTGAGGCCCACCTCACCCAACTCTGAAGCTGCCCTCTGCCCACAGAAAACTCCTCCCAGGTGTCCCGCCACATCCCTAGAGTCAGACTCAAGAAAGGACTCAACTGCCATGGGGAATCTTGGAATTCTAGGGGGCTTACTTTCCCCACCTGAAGCAGAGACTTTGGAACCACAGAAAAACGGTCCAATCTCTTTCCCTTGTAGTGTGTGTCCTAATCTCTCAGTTCCCTCCAAGGAGCTGCAGGACCCCAGAAATCCCAGGCACCTCCCAGGACCCAAGATATACCGAGAAGACTTGGTCTTGGCGGAGAGTCACATTCCCTCCACCCACTTCATTTTCCGTAGAAAACCAAGAACCCAGGACAACTCTACATCTCGTAATTGTCCGGAACCCTAAAGGCTCCTGTACTCGCAACAGTACACGGTCCCCGCACCAAGAAAACCCCAGGCCCCTCAACTTTCTTGGAAAGGGTTTTGATTGGGAGACCTGACCCCGCCAGATGCCTCCAAAATAGCTGCGCTCCTACAAAAGCCAGAATTCCTTCCCTCCGGGGACTTCACCCCGCAGGAAGCCGCCCACAGCGCCCGCGGCTCAGACCCGTCTTCCGGATGCCTCGTTCCCAGTCCCGCGCCCTAGGAGCTGCAAGTCCCCAAGGAGCGTCGCGCCCAAGCCACTTCCCACGTTCTGAGGATCCCGGACCCACCAGGACCCAATCAGCCCGAAACCTCAAGATTCTGCAGGTTCCCTTCAGGCTCCTTGGCCCAGACTTCGGAAAGAACGGCGGGACCGGGCGGCGCAGCCCCTTCCTTACCCGCCAGTGCGGCCATGGTCCCAGGGTGCGGAAATGAGGATCCGGCGGGAGCTGCAGCAGCTCGCCGCGGGCCCTGCCTCCGAGGCAGGCAAGGGAGGATTTTAGCCCCAGGCAAGAGCCGCACGCACCGCCTACGGCACCCGGGGAGGATCAAACCGCACCTGGCACCGGCGCCCTGCCTGTTGCCCAGTTGCCCAGGCGGCCACCAGACTCCGCCCCACCGAGTCCCGGGCCCGCCCCCTGGTTCGCGCTCCATGACGTCGTCTCTGGCGCCCCCTAGAGCAAGCAACAACTTTCTTGGATGCTTGACTAATCAGGTGATTGTGCACAGACCAGAGGTCTAACACAATACCCTCTAGTCCAGTTTCCCCCGTTTTACAGATAGAGACAGCTGAGGACCAGAGGACAAGTTAAGCTACTTCAAATAGCTCCGCTCGGGCCGGGGATATAGCTCAGTGGCACAAGCAGCGCCTGCCTG